CACAATAGTCCTCTGAAAATTGGGGCAATATTATAAATATAATAACCTCTGGTAAAACATATAAGTAGTAACAACTATTTTGATATATTTCTCATTCTTTAGATGATGAAAAATATCAAAATATATTAAATTTAATAGTCATTTGATGGACATTGTTTACGGATGACTACCAAGAAAATAAATTTAAATTCTAAAGTACCATGTAGATAATTATTGTTTAGTGATGACTAATTTGGAAAAATACCCGATTATAAAGGAACATTATGAGAATTTACTCTAAAACTTATGTTTGTTAGAGCATGAGCAATGGTGAGACGACAAAAATGGAATGTCACACATTGACGTGGCAGATTCCAACTAATAAAAAATTGTCTAGTCAACAAGCAGTACGTGAGTGAAGTGACAAACTCTACAGTGACAAATCATTGTTTCAATCTCTTTTTACATTCTTTTGATGTGTTTTAGTTATTAAAAATTATTTTTCAATTTATTTTATCATAAATATAATTCTACTTTCTTACAAAAAATGGTCATTTTTTAATCAAAAATTAAAAAAAAAAAGGATATGGAATGCCACACTCAAGACATGGAGTGCATGACAAAATGTGCTACTTCGCACTTTTTAAGAGGGGAAAAAAATGTGAAACGAGAAAATGGATGAGGAGAGGTATGGTTAGTTGCAGTATATTTCTGTTAAAGTGAATTGAAGCTAAAAAGATGGCTAGAAAAAAGGGAAATTTCACATTCTTATTTCTTAACAAATATAGGAATTTATTGCTAAGACTTTAGGGTCCGTTTGGTATAAGGAATTGGTGGAATTGGAATTGAATTGGAATTAAAATTTCTTGAGATTCAATTCCATAGAATTGAATTCTGTCAATTTCAATTCATTTTTTGCACTATCAATTTCAAATCCACATAATTTTTGTGTTACCAAACACCAAAATTGGAAATGAAGTCTCCAATTCCAATTTGATAGTTTGAATTCCATGTACCAAACGGGACCTTAGTGTATTTTGAGGAATATGACCTTTCCGTTAAAGAATGAATGAAAATATGAAATGATGATTGCTTTTTTTTTCTTTTCGTCATATTGTATACTCCAAATCTTTATTATCCAAAAAATAAATGACTTGTCTAGAGATTGAAATGTGATTCCTCATAGGCCTTGTTTGGAAGTTGTTAGTTGCTGGGTGTTTTTTTTTATCAAATTATTTAAACCAAATCTTTCGGATCTACTCTTCTGCCACTACAAAAATTCCTATTGTGGTTAAAGATAATCGGTTGAAAAGTTTAAAATTGTATTCAGTTTTTATCTAATTATTGATGAAAATTTCAAAAAAAAATGATTTAATTAAAAACTACATCAAACACGAGGTGACATTTTTATTTTGTTTTAGAAAATGATTAAAAAATAGATAATTCAAGATAATATAATTTAATCATGTACTAGATCACAAGAAGTTTTTATTGCCAATCCACTTCTTCCACTCTCACTAATACGGAGTATAAGTTTTGATACTCCTAGACATAAAAGTTGAATAAAAGGATTGGATTTAGCCATTATATTTACAGTGTCAATTTAGTCACACTTTTTTTAAAGAAAAAGTTTACAAATCTTTTTCCCTCTTAATGTAAAAATAGAGGGGTGGTTGATTTCACTCTTTTGTTGTGTTATAGCTAAGTGTGTTAAGTGTTTCAAAAAAAAGGTGGAACACCCACCTGGGCACCCACACCCTGGCCCGACAAAATTGTGAGAAGGCTAAATCATTATATAATCTCAATCTGATCTTTAGAGAGGCTGTCTTGTGCCCAATGCGGACAAAGAGATATTACAAATAATAAAACTTCCACATTGTCGTTGTCAGAAACTGACCTTAGGATCAACGTACTTGACATCTTCCTATTAGACCAGTTGAGCTACCAATGCAGCGTGTTAAGTGTTTCAACTTTATGATACCATGTCTATCCTGTTAGATAAATATGGAAATAGTTCTAGTTATAGAAGGATTCTTATAATAGTTAATTACCATACTTGGAGAATCCTAATTGATGTAGGAATCTCCATCTATATAAACTACCTTGTACACAATTATTTTCTTGAGTTGAAATCATAATTCAATATGGTATCAGAGCCTATTGATCCGTCTCTTCCTTCTCGATAACGAAAAAAAATCGGCCCAGCCGATTCTGTCTCTGCTTCGTCTTCCCCACGCAGCCGATCTCCACCGATCGGCCATGGCTGCTCAAACTTCTGATCCCATGGATCGACTGCCTACGGGCTTGAAATTATTTGTCCGGAATCTTCAATCTCTAACTCCGGTCAAACTAGATGATACAAATTATCCCTCTTGGTCTGCTACGGTTCGTGCAAACCTCATCGCTCATCGTCTCCTCGGATATGTTGATGGTTCAGAAGTGCCTCCTTCACCCCTTATTTTGGACGAGAAAGCTGCTGCCCTGGCAAGGATGCACCGCCAGTTATGAAACCCAATCCTGCTTATGACTCATGGGTTCTTGTTGATGCTCAAATCAGGGCCTGTCTTCTCGCTATTGTTTCTCCAACTTCCCCGACCAAACCCCACCCCCTGTCACCCAGTAACCCGAAACCCACCCCAACCAACCCCATCACCCCAAACCACCCGAACGAACCCCACCCCCTGCCAACCCGAAAACCGAAACCCACCCAGCCCTAGAACTGTACCCACCTGCCCATCAATCCAGCCCCATACCCCTCCCACTCCTATACAATTTGGTAGCCTCTCCCCCACCATGATTAGTC